ATGTTTTGATTCTAATATGTTTTTCCCCAACAAAAAAGAGCTCAAGAGCTACCTTATTAAAATTCTTAAAATGTCGTCTACTCCCTCTCCCTCATTGAAAAAAACTGAATCTATGAATAATTTCAATAGTTTACCTGCTGGATGCAAAACATGTCCATGTACTTCACCATTTTCAGTGTGAATGACCTGGAGCCAAGTTTCAACATCAGACTTTTGTAAGTTTAATAATGAACTACGATTTATTGGCTCCAAACTTATTGTGGTGTCAAAAACCATGCTCGTAGAAACTTTCCAGTTTTGGCTAATAAATGTGAAAACAGCCTCCCAGTGTCAAACACTTAATAAACATCATTCTGTGCAGAATGAAGTGAGTGAAATAACAATGAGCAAGACAGATCGGACTGGAGGGGGACTAACAAACGAGTCTGCAGCCTTCTGGCTTTAAGAGTTTTGCAGAATCATCTCCAAAATCAAAATTGGATCTGTATAGAAGCGCTTCTGAGTAACAGCTCCTTGGGTAGGATCGGAGAAAAAACAGTTTGCTTTGCCTCAGCTTTTGTAGGAAAACAAATACTGCAGGGGAGAGCAGAGTCACTTGGGGACAGGGGGACAGTTGAGATAGTGCCTCAGTGCGTCAGTTAGACAGTAACTACGCTTGTGTAATTCACCATGCTCATACTCAGCCACACCCTCTTCACTTTCACTTTCAAAGTGGAGATGTTCTGACTTTTCCTCACATTTTATTCACAGTTTTTAAATCTACAGCTTGGAAGTGAATGTTTGACCCTTGTTATTTTTGGTTCTACCATACTGTATTTAGTTATGCTACATACAAAAAACACTGGACGTTGGAAAGCTGATTGTCTGGCCTATCAGTTTGTGCTGGTTTTAGCAGTCTAAATTTTTGTTAGTAGCCTACAGCACAGGAGTCTGGAGTGTGTTTGCTCACTCTGGGACAGTTGGGACAGTTACCCAGGGGCGGTTGGGACAGTATTGTTTATATTTCCTAGGCTTTTACAAATTCACAAAAAGTTGACAAAAACAAGGCGAAGGCTTAAACTAATTGAATAAGACCCACTGTTAAGTCACTGAGTAAATATTTACTGCATCATACAGGCCCAACCCCTGAGCATATTTTTAACATGCAGAGTTTAACCACCTAACTTTTTTTTAAACTCTCAGGTTGTTGTTATTGTTTGTTTTTTTTTTAAAATTTGTCCTTTAACAAACTCAGTAGCTGACATAAACCTATAGGCTATTTGTAGCTTATGGTACCACATAGAGCTGATTTTACATTTTTTTTTCTTTTTCTGAAAGAAATATCTGAACAAGTAAAATTGTAAATAGGCTACAAAGTGTTCAAATTTAGACAGCATTTTTTAAACAAGTTGTCCTAGCCAACTTTATTTAAGCTCCAAAAAAACTTAATAAATTGTTAGAAGACACCTCTATTTGTTCAGGGATCAAATTATTTTCATTACTGTTCAAGTAGTCTCTGAATAATGAAAGGTTATTTCATGTCAATGCAACAATGTGTCAACTGACCCGGCCCTGCCCCACACAGCTGTTAATAATATGAAATACGGATTAATATGCATGTTATAAACATAGGCTATCTACATTAAATGGTAAGGCTGACATTAACATGTGTCAACACATTCCATAGAAAACACCCAAATCAACAACGTGTTGGTCCATAGCTGCGTTCTGTTCCAGACAGTACTCCCTTGTACTCCCTGTTTAAGGAATGTTTCTGGAATGTTTCTTCCCTGGATAAATTGCAACACACTGCAACATCACCAACGCACACATCACTTCCTCCATGCGTTAATCTGGTCATGTAAACACCTCGGATACCTGGTGCTGTAGCTACTGCTGTGGAAATTTGACACCACTGAAATAAATGACTGATTACATAGTGAAACAAAAACTGATATCATTACAAAGCTAATTCTATTGAAATGTATGTAACTTGTTAATAGATAAGAATTGATTAGTTTACAAAACATTGAACAGTGTCATTTCTAAAGAGACTGATATTATACAGATAATTACAGATTATTATAATGTAATATCTATATTATGTTATCCTTGATAAATATGAACAGTGCACTGAACTGATGTCAGGCCCTGTGCACCCTCTTGTTGTCACCACAGCTTCAACTCCTCCTCACTGCATTTAGTTTGGCATACTTTTTTAGATGATGTCAACAATATGGGAAAACCTGTCAAAGGTAACAATGCCTAAAAGAAGACTAATAGCAATGATTACCTTGACCCTAAACAATATGATTTAACCTACAGTATGTTTTTGCTGCTAGCTAGCTCCCCCAAGTGGTAATGTTTGGTACTAACACAAGGGTTTCTCATCTTAAGTCCTCAGATCCCACCATCTAGGAGGTTTTGCTGTAACCAGGAAGTTACATAGCTTGCTTGATTCAACTTATCATGAGCCCTCAGCAGTAAAATCCGAGTTTCCAGCTGCAAATCCAACCTGTCAGGTGGGTCCAGGGGACCGGAGTTGATTACCACTTTGCAGCATGTATGCACACAAATCGTTTTAATCACGGGGGACTCAATTTGTCACACTTGATTATTTAAAAGTAGAACAAATGAGCACTTTTCCTGCATGTAAACTGCTAATCAGAGAACTGGTTTTATAAAAATAAAAATATAGATGTATATCTATCTTACTATATAATGACGAAAAATGTGTGTGTCTGTGTGTCTGTTCCACGTTTTTCTCCTCACTGACTTGGTCAATCCATGTGAAATTTGGCACAGTGGTAGAGGGTCATGAGAGGATGCGAATGAAGCAATATTACATCAATTGGCCAACAGGGGGCGCTATAGCAACCGATTGAAATTGCAAACTTTGAATGGACATATCTCATAGAGACATGAAACTTTGCACAGAGATGCCTCTGCTCATGAGGAACAAATTTGCCTCAAGAACCCATAACTTCCGGTTATATAGATTTTCCACCCTTTTGAATTTTTTGAAAAACACTTAAAATGGATCTCTTCCTAGGAAGTTTGACCGATCTGCATGAAACTCGGTGAACATAATCTAGGGACCAATATCTAAAGTTCCCTCTTGGCAAAAGTTGGAAAACTTACTAAAACTGAGCTTCTATAAGGCAATGAATATTGTGGAGGGCGTGGCTCATCACATAAAGGTGTATAACATCTCAAGGGTTTCACCGATCACCACGCAACTTTGTAGGCATATGACCACACATAATCTGAGGGGAGCCCTCCATTATTCAATTTTCAATTCAATTTTATTTATAAAGCCCAATATCACAAATCACAATTTGCCTCACAGGGCTTTACAGCATACGACATCCCTCTGTCCTTATGACCCTCACAGCGGATAAGGAAAAACTCCCCAAAAAAAACCCCTTTAACAGGGAAAAAAAACGGTAGAAACCTCAGGAAGAGCAACTGAGGAGGGATCCCTCTTCCAGGACGGACAGACGTGCAATAGATGTCGTACAGAACATTATTGACCCCATCAAACAAAATGGGGGCGCTAGAGAGCTAATTTCTTATCTAGGCCTAACCACCACATCGATTTTTACTAAACCTGGTAGATATGTAGAACAGGACGCCTCAAGGTGACTGGAGAAATGTAACTCTAATTGGCAACTGGGTGGCGCTATAACAACAGAAAATAGCTAAAATGCAACAGATCGCTGTGGCTGCAATCGTACTATCAAATTCACAAAAACTCTGAATACATTGCTCTTCTTAATGGGATCAGTTGACTATTTAATCTGCAATTTCCTATGACTTGTATCCCAAACACCCACCATATGTGAAACTGTACGTGGGCAACTGTGCACTCAATGGGTATGGACTAGTAAATTTTTAATTTCAAAACTTTCCATTCATTTTTTTGATGTGAATCCCAGAGCCTACAGCTAAATTAATCCAACTGTGCCAGTCCGCCAACTTTTTTACCATGGAAATCTAACACCAAACTTGACTTTAGCGTCTTCCATGAATCCTGGAACGTCCTCCTGAGGATGCTGCATAAGGACTGACACCATGGCTGGCTTCAGACTATTGAGGTGCTTGTCGTCATCTTTGGGTTGTGGAACATTACATTGGGTTGTCTGCAGAGTTTTCTCCATGCACCAAACAACTGTGTTTCGTTCCACCAGGAAGATTATGAAGTTCTTCCTGTATTACTGTGCCCATATCATAAGATTCACAGCAGTGAAAGTCGTTGCCACGTTGGCAAACCACAGAGCTTCCCAGAGGGCTAACAACGCTAGCTGCAGCATGCACAATGAGTGCTGTACTCTACTGTTGATGAGGTTACTAATGTTTCTAACTATAACATTAGCACTGACAATTAATGTTAAAGGGAAAATTTGCAGAATTTCAGCCAGCCCTGTGTCATCGCAGTGTGTGCAGTGTGTACAGATGACCAGTGTTTGCCTGGGAGTATACCTTGTCCTCAGGGTCCTATGTTCCCCAGTCCAATATTCTGTTAACACACATCAACACTCCTATTGTGTTCATTCCACTTTCTTGTCACTCTCTTGTCCTAAATTAGCTTTGGTTTACTCTGCATATCAATTCACGAGACATATTAGACAAAGAGCCATAAAAAGATTAAAATTGATGAGGAAGATTGCGTGCTTACAATGGAAATGTTTAGTTCTTATGAATATTACATGTTAACCTTATCTTTGATCACTTTCCTCCTAACATGACCTTTGACCTCAATAATTCCTGGGTTTTCTGTAGCTCTAGGCACCATTGGTTTGTTCTGAAGATGTTCAAAAATGTACAAATCTATACTATTTCAAAAAAAAAAAAAAAAAACAGCCGGTCACTGTAGTTTTATCAAACATTACTCAAACAAGACAAAGAGACTTTGTTGGGGATTATTTTCAGCTGTGGAGTAATCAACATTTGGTGCTCAGTGTGTATTTGGGGCGGCAGGATGGTTTATGTGGGCTTAGGTCAAAATAAAATACATTGTGTGTGTTCATGGTAATGAAAAATGTAATTTTAATGGAGCTCTGTAGCACAAAGGAAAAAGAAATCAAACTTTGGATACACACACAATATGTGTTAATAGATACATTACATTCACTGTTGGTTTGGATCAACACATGAGATTTGTTGATAAGAAGAAAAAACTAATGATCTCCAGCATTATGCAGCTCACTGTCCTGATACCTTCACCAGCCTATAAAGAGCTGCCCACACCAAGAACAATGACCATAAATATATTGTTTTTATAATTGTTCTTACTCAAGCAGAGTCCACATGACAACTATAATGACAACAACAATGGATTAACAACAGAAACACTGACAGCCAATCAAAATCCATCTGAACTGACAGGGTGTCACATACTCACATTGTTATTGTTATAGTTATCATTATAGTTATCGTAATAGTTCTTGGGGTGGACAGCCCTTAAATATCACATGGTGTATCAATGATGTGCATCGATGGTAACGGCTGTGGTGGTGAAGGAGAATGGACTGAGCAGCAAAGCCAAGGTGTAGTGACGATGACCTCCAGCATGGGCTTCGAACACCACCTGCGCACGCACACACACACACACACACACACACAAATCAGAGACAGTTTTAGTTTGTTTGCCACAAACTGAATGTGATTATGTGATAAAATGGACAATTGTGAATAAAGAGGGGATAGAGGCTATTGGGTAATGATAACAGATGACTTTTGGCCATGCTCTTCTGAGAAGTGTTAGATAAACAGCAGGATAGCAAATAGCTGTTTGAACATACTAATGTAAACTGTCCTGGTGTACTGCTGTCAGGCTACAAGATAACATCAGATAACAGAAGATAAGCCTTTACACAGGTTATAGAGTGTGTTCTACTGTGTCTTATAAGGACAGTGTACTACATCAGAACAGGGTGGGTTGGGATTCTGACCATGATTTTTGATGTGGTCAGACAGCACGTCGAAAGTTGTTCTGGCCCTTATGCTCCAAAAGATCAAGCAAATTAAAGCATGAACTGAGTAAAAATGCCTCTGAAGCCTGGACCATAAAATGTACCAGCATTATTGTCTGAGTCAGAAAGGCAAGCAAGGTGTTAGAGCCAAACTATATTTTTTGGTATTCTGGTTATGGAAATTTCGTAAACATGTAATGTGATTTAAAGGTCCAGTGTGTAGGATTTAGGGGGAGATACTGGCAGAAATGGAATATAATATCATAAGTATGTGTTTTTTAAGTGTTTTATCACCTTAAAATAAAAACTGTCATTTGCGTTACCTCAGATTGAGCTGTTTATATCTATGTAGTGATTAGTTCTTTGTCCACGCAGTCCACCATGCTGTGCTGCCACGTTTCTGCAGTAGCTCAGAATGGACTAACCAAACACTGGCTCTAAATAGGGGACATTTAGCAGCCCCTCTGTCATGAGCCGAACAGTGTTGGAAAAACACAGACTTTTAAGTGGAAACTGCTTTATTTAGTGATTTTACCGGTTTAAATTACTAGGTCCATTTGTTTTGGAAAGGAGCAGACTTCTGTGGATAATTCGGCTCCTGGTTAAAACCTCCTAAAAGTCTGGATCTTAAATTATCAGAGATAAAAGGTGAGCACACATTAGCAGGTGTTAGTCTAGCGACCCAATGGCGACAAGCTAAACAGTCAGACATTGCGCTAGACTTTTTCTTCGCCTGTCATTTTGACTGACAGGGTCATAAAAATCCGGTCATAATCTATTTTTACCGGTCATTTTAATTTTTGTTTTTAAATGATAATAAAGATATTCAAAGACATTTAGTTGTCATTTGTTCGTTTTTAATAAATCCAACAAGCAAGTTATAAAGTGTGCATTAATAAGGACATGAACGAAAAGATGAACAGATATCCACACACCCGTGCTATTAGGCTTCGTCCTGGACACACCAGACGGCACTAACGCGTCACTAACACTTCAGGTGTGTCCAGGGCGTTATGTAGTTATGCCTGTAGGCTCGGTGACACAAAATTAAAACTGTAATGAAGTGATTACAGTATTGAAAAATGTGTTCGGTTATGCACTGTTGTGTTATTTTAAATTATAAAGACGGTATTTTCTCCTCACATTCCACAGTGCGTGCTGTTGTTATTTTATTTTGAAAATTGGCCGGATTCTCTCGTCTTTTCTGTGTCCAACTTCCTGTTTGGTACGATCCGCTCGATCCAGCTTGACAGAAGTGCTCGCGGCTCCCTTGAAAAATAGACCAGACGCCGAACTGAAGCGCTGCCTCCACGGGCGCTCCGCTCCGCCTGTGTGGACAGTCAGATAGGTTAACATGGGCGCTGACTGAAAACTGCCTCTGCTGCTGGGCGCCGTGCTTCGGTTCCGCGCCCGGTGTTACCAGGGCGTTATGTCAACAACGCTACATGAAGCAGATGAATGACTTTTTCTCTGCAGACAGTGTGATAAGGGTAGCTACTTAAACCACTGACTGTGCACTCCGCCGCCACGTGGGCAGGGGTGGTAATTGCAACCGGTTAAAATGACCGACGGCCTTCAGATTTTCCGGTCATTGTTGTAAAAATCTGGTCAATGACCGAGAATATCCAGATAACGCGACCCCTGTAACCAGTGTATATTTTTACTGGTTTAAATCACTACTACTGTTTTTGTTGGAGAAAGAGAGACCTCTGTGGTTAATCTGGCCCCAGGAAAAAACATCATGGACAATGAAAACTTCAGGAATTCCAACCGAGAGTTCACACTTGGCACATGGGAGAAGATTCAGCTGGTTGCAATCTGCAATCCTCACTGCCAGATAACACTGCTCCTTTAATTTAGTTAGTTTGTGTTTTTTTAAGTTTTTTTTTTAAGTGTTGTATTTTGTTTCATTATTAATCGAATGGTATAAATAATGTGCAATATGTTCTCTTTCTGTTTGTCTGTCTGCTCGTCTGTGTGTCTGTCAGTCTCTGTGACGGAGTTGTAATGACTGGTTTACACTCACCTCAGCTACTTCATGGAATGGTGTGCTCCCCTCATTCTTCCAGTAAGTTTTGGTATCAAACTCAACACGATACACTCCTGCTGGGAACTGCTGCTCTGTGATGAGGTTGTGGATCTCTCCGGTGGCATCTGTCACTCTGCAATGAGGAACATGGATATCTGACTGCATGCTTTGTACATATTGAACAGATACTGAGAAAAGACATACTTGACCTTATGGTTCATATTGTACACACCCATTAGCGATCTGTGTCCATCCCCCATCAGCTGTCTTCTGAGACACCTTGAGGGCCACTGATCCGGCTGGAGTCCCTTTCACGGCATCAAGGATTTTCACCATCAGAGGACACTTGGTGTCTGAGTCTCCATGTTTCTCCTGCAGCACAGACACAAGCCACAACTACACCTCATTCTGTGTTGCTCATTGTCACACTTACAGCATCCATCCTCACACATCCACATGTTGTTACCATATTACCAGGGCAGTGTTTATTACACTTTGTTATTTCTATGACTGTAATTTAGCGTGTCTCATACATTGTGCATTAAATAAAGTGAGAGCTTTAAAAACCACACAATGCTCTTAATTATCATTAGTAGTAGTAATACTTGATATTAACTGTATTATCCATAACCACTTATCTTGTTAAGGGTCACAGGGGCTGGAGCCTGTGGAGCTGACATTGGGTGAGAATTGGGGTACACCCTGTACAAGCCGCTAGACTAGCACAGGGCCGACACATTGAGACAGACAACCATTCATGCTCACATTCACACCTACGGAAAATTTAAGTCACCAGGTAACCTGCATGTTGCTGGACTGTGTGAGGAAGCTGGAGAACCCAGGAAAAAACCCACACTGACAGAGGGAGAGCATGCAAACTGCACAGGGGCCCCAGCTGGGTACGAACCCAAAACCCTGTAGCTATGAGGCAACAGTGCAGCACTGCAGCATTTTGCTGCTCTAACTTAATGTTGCTTGATTGGCTGATATCATTGTTTCTATTTGTTTCACACTAAATTCATTCAGAGTGAGTCAGCATGAAAATGTGGAATGTGTGGGATGTTTTTATTCTGCAAGTCAAGAGTTCAAAGTGCAGGGACGAATGAGTCAGCATAGATCAATATCTTCTGTCTAATTTATTAAGTTGGCTGATGAATGAAAACTAAGAACATTCAGTGCTGTCTTCTAAACAGCAGTGAATGAGCGGTCCTCAAAAACACAAAACCATTTCATCTCTGTATAAGAAAACAATACAAAAATACCACAGGACAGTAATTAACAGCAATCATGGCAACAATAGACAACGAAAGTATTCAGCTTCAAAGAATAATAAAAGGCTGTTTTTATCCTGAGAAATATGAAGCTTAAAGTTGATGAAAATAATTTTCAAACACAGTGAGATCACTTGTTACAGTTTATATCATGGTAAGATTCATGAGGAGTAGTAATGTAATTGACTTTTGGTTCAGATGGAATAAACCTGTAAAACCCTTGGATAGAGATACATGATTTATAAGTTTAGCTTGACCTGAACAAGCTAAATGTGACTTTTAACTGTGATTAACAGATATTTCACCACATGAGTCTCACTTTGAGCTTTCTAATACCTAGGTCTTAGACAGAGGGTCACAAAAATTAGAATATGTCTGAAATACAAATTAACGTCCAACATTATTCACATTTAATTAGCAAAGCTAAACTGGCCTTTTCTTAAAAAATGAATACATTAACAGTACACAACACTGATGATATGCCAGCTGTTACCCATGAATCCTTATGCAATCATGTTAGCAAGCTATCAGTAAATCACTATGTGGCACACGTCCATAATGGCAAGGCGAACTTGTTAGCTAACAGTTACGTAGTACTGAAACATATTGGCCAATTAGCTGCAATACTGTTTCAAGTGTACGAAGATTGTTGTGAGCCACAGTGGATCATTTTGTGCTTTTCGAGCAAGAGACACTGTCCACCTCAGAAACAAACATAATGAATAAATGTATCATTTTAATGGCTATGCACCATCAAAGCGTATGTTTATACATGGCATTTTAGGTCAAGTTTAATATGTAACTCAATTTTATACAGTATATGTAGTAGAGGGTCCCTGCACTGTCTCTCTTTCAGCTAAGGGGTCCTTGGCCTGAAAAAAACTGAGGAGCGCTGTTCTCATACAAATTCAGGCTTAGCCTCGTTTGTTCATCAGTACTCAATAAATGTTCCATTTCAAGCAAAAGCATTCAAATCCAGATTCTGCCTTTAAATGCTGTGTAATTTATTCATTGTTTATTCAGCTCAGTGAGTTCTGTGAACATAATCTGTGCTGCCACTCATTGTAAAGAGCTGTTATCTCTCGTGTTTGCAGTACAGCGGCAGATGAACAGAGCAGCATGTACATTATGAGAGAGAGTAAACCAGGTAAAGGCAGGTCACTGAACCACATACTGATTTATTCTACTTGCCTGGGCTGTGTGTTCATCAAAGTTTATCTTTTAGCAGTTTAGACAGTAATACTCAGTGTGTTAATGTTGCTAAGATTGTACTTAAAAGGGGCTGCAGGGCAGTACTTAGTTTCTGGTGTGTTCAGATTGTATTTCCTTGAATATTCAACTCTTGCACAGACATCTGAGGAGAAACTCTGGGTTTTTTATTTATTTTATTTAATGTTTATTTGTATAGGGACAAGTATATAGCATACATAAATGCCACACACCACAGCATTTATAGCCTGAGCTAATTTGCAAAAAGACCTTCAAATAAGGAGGTAGAACTAAGCAATATACTGGTAAGAAATATTAAATACTGACTTTGAAAGGAGTTCTAGGTTACTTATTTGTCATGTGTTATGATGCTGAAGCTTGGTCTAATATTCCTGCAGGGACCATGTGGTGAAGGATCATGACTTTGAAGTGAGCCTCTGCCATCAGAGAACATCATGTTACGTTAAATCTGGATTAAAATGTGAGACAACCTGATGAAAACTTCATAGCTCACCTGACATTTCATAACAATTTCACTTAAATACAAAAAATACCTTTGGAGGATGAAAATTGTGTTTTTCTTGAACCTCACACTCCACTCTTAGGTCCATTTTAAAAGGTAACACATATGCAAAATCTGCAATTGCAGACTGAATATGAGATGTACAGTTTGTACCTCAGGAACAAAACTTTCTCATGACATAGATCTTTAAAGGTACTGATGTAATTGCACTCACAATTATTCAGAAGCACAAACTCACACTGACACATAAATGTACACAGTCACACAGACACTGACCGTAGGGACGGGGCTGGTGTTGCAGAGCAGCACAGTAGAGGCTAGAAGCAGACAGTGCAGTGGTTGAAGCATGGTTGGCTGATGGACAGACAGACTGACAGGAGTAACTGGTGCTCACACATGACCCCCAGTGCCTCAGGTCTCTTATAGCAGCAGCTGTCCTCCCCCCCTCCCTCCATCACTCCCTCCCTCACCCACCCTGCCGCCAGCACTGCGGACTATGTCAATACCTGGACAATGAATAACTAAATCAGCTTTGGACCAAACTAGCATAGATGCCTCAGTAGCCTGTCCTCACATTATAAAAGTGGACAACACAGAGATGTATAAACAGTACAACTGGGCTAGAACAGAGGTCAGCAACCTTCAGCACATTTGCCACCATGGGATGCAGTAGCTAAACACTGACTCACTAGCAATAAGTGTGCCAGAGAGTTTTTTGGAAATGTGAAAGTGCCCTCTCATCTGCATGCCAAGTGACCTCTTTCACAGCCAGTGTTATCACATTCCACGAAGACCTCCTCTGCCTTTGACTGGTTAGTACTCATTGCCATCTTCGCAGAATGCGGGTGGGATAAACAATAACGCTACCGTAGCAGGTTTGGTAGATGATAGCAGGCCTGCAGGACACGGCTTCACCTAGATTTTATATAAGAGGACACAACTACTGCTTATATTGTTATGTTGTTATTTTATTTTCCCATACTGTTATAATGTTATTTTAATACTGTTACAGTGTTATTTTTATTCTTACTAGTTTTTTTTGTACTACTGCCAAATAGGAGCTGCTAAACAGATTTTCACAGTGATATTGTCTGAAAAAGTTAACGGTGACAATAAAGTATTCTTATTCTTATTCTTAACTACACCCTGATTTAATGTAAGAAGACACAGCTACACCCTGGTTTTATATAAGAGGACACAACTACACCCTAATTTTATTTAAGAGGACACAACTACACCCTGATTTTATATAAGAGGACACGACTTCACCTTGATTTTATATAAGAGGACATGACTTCACCTTGATTTTATATAAGATGGCACAACTACACCCTGATTTTATATAAGAGGACACAACTACACCCTGATTTTATATAAGATGGCACAACTACACTCTGATTTTATATAAGAGGACACAACTACATACTACATACATTTTATATAAGATGACACATACAAGCGGGCACAACTACACCCTGGTTTTAAATAAGAGGACACATATAAGATGACACAACTACACCTTGATTTTATATAAGAGGACACGACTTCACCTTGATTTTATATAAGAGGACACAACTATACTCTGATTTTATATAAGAGGACACAACTTCACCTTGATTTCATATAAGGGGACACAACTACACTCTGATTTTATATAAGAGGACACAACCACACTCTGATTTTTATATAAGAGGACACAACTACACTCTGATTTTATATAAGAGGACACAACTACAATCTGATTTTATATAAGAGAACACAACCACACTCTGATTTTTATATAAGAGGACACAACTACACTCTGATTTTATATAAGAGGACACAACTTCACCTTGATTTTTATATAAGAGGACACAACTTCACCTTGACTTTATATGAGGACACGACCTCACCTTGATTTTATATAAGAGAACACAACTACACAGTGACTTCATATAAGAGGACACAACTACACCCTGATTTTATATAATAGGTCAAAACTGCACACTGATTTTATACAACGGGACACAACTACACTCTGATTTGATATAAGAGGACAAGGCTACATCCTGATTTTATATAAGAGGACACAACTACACTCTGATTTTATATAAGTAAGTAAGTAAGTAAGTAAGTAAGTAAATTTATTTATATAGCACTACTCACAGAGAGGACTCACAAAGTGCTTCACAAGATAAAATACAAAAAATACAATAACAGAAACAATGCAAAATACACAAAAACAAATAAAAAGTAAAGTGCAGCGAAATACAGAGATGATACAATGGACATTTAATGGAACGCAAGCCTAAACAGATGTGTTTTTAACTGCTTTTTAAAAATGTCCACGGAAGAGGCCGCTTTCAGCTCATGAGGTAGTGCATTCCACCATTTCGGTGCAAGAGCCTTAAAGGCTCTATCACCTTTCGTCTTTAATCTTGTGTGAGGGACAGTAAGTAGGTGGCCTTCAGCGGACCGCAGTGACCTGACAGGACAGTGAAAGGACACCAGATCCGTCAAGTATGCAGGTGCTTGACCATGGAGAGCTCTGTAAGTGATGGTTAGAATCTTGTGCTGGATCCTGAAATTAACAGGGAGCCAGTGCAGGGATGCCAGGACTGGAGTGATGTGAGTAAACTTATGAGATCTGGACAGAAGCCTGGCGGCAGCGTTCTGGACCAGATGGAAGCGGTCTAATGAAGTTTTATTTAGACAGGTGAACTGCGGCCACTGATAAGAGGACACGCTACGCCCTGGTTTTATATAAGATGACAAATATAAGAGGACACAGCTACACACTGATTTTTTATAACAGTACACAACTACACTCTGGGCCGAATTCACAAAAGGATTGCGTGGCTTTTGCAGCCGCTAAACCGGTAAACTGCAGCCTAATTATGCATGCTGACAGGGGCGTAGTCACCATATACATTGAGGGGGACACGTGCCCCCCTAATTTTTTTTTTACGGCAATCAAAGTGGCAAATATTATTTTGGAGGAGATCTTTGCACTTGGTTGACTATTTTTCTGTTATTTTAGATGTAAATATTGCATGTTTCTTTCAGATAAAACACATTTTGACTTGTGAATGAGTCAATGGAATTTCTTGCAATAATGAAAAAATACTGGCAATCATGTCCGCCTGGCACAAACCACATGTTTTGGACAGCTGTGAAGTGACAGAATGTCCCACCATCATGGTCCTTATATTACCAGATTCCACAGAGTCTCCCCTCTTCATATATGGCAGAATATGTCAACTTCCAACTTGCTATGGTGAGATACATGTAAAAATGTAAGAATTTAGTAACACAGATTTGTTTTTTTCATTGATATAAAAATTAATATAAAATACAGGCACATAGAAGGACATGAAATGATGGCAAATCTGGTCTCCTATGTCCGAATTTCATGTTCATTGGTCAGTCTGAACTGGTAATAATGGCCGAGCCCTCCGCCTCAAACATTTGGTCGAGTGTCCCTTTTTTTCACAAATCCAAGGTGGCAACCCTACTTTAGAAAGCTGGTGCAAACTGGGCGCTCCTCTGTGGAAGCCTCTCGCCCAGACTTTCCAGTGATCGTGGCAGCAGTGATCGTCTGTTAAATCAGTCTGTAAATAATATTTTGACATTATTATTATAATCATTATTACTTTAATGGCATCTGAAGATATTGATGCGTTGAACAGGTGACAGTCTGCGGTCGTTCTCAAAATGCACTTCTGTCACACACTTCAAAAGCAACTTTCAGTAATTTATTTTACGAAACGGGGGAAACAAACGTGAACAAAAACGGTTCCATAATTCATATTAAATTCAAAAGATAACGAAAAAACAGCTACACGTGAGAGGGAATAGTGATAAAGTGGTCAAACTTGGTCAAATCCACAGCCTCAACCCATCCGACACTGTTAGACTGACTCACCAGCAGACATCACTACATGAGGGTATACAGTATTCAGTACTTTGCCAGACAAGTCTGCCATTGTTCTGCCACAGTGTTCTTGGCGCAAAGCCAGCATTTATACTTTGCCATGTGGCTAATTGCAATCAGGGGCAAATCAGGGGCAAACTGCACTCAGTTGCCAAACTTTGTGGGCGTGTTTGCGCTGGTATATCATTAGCGCAATATCCTTTGTGAATAGGACGTTAAGACGGAGCAAACTGCGGGTGCAAATGAAGTGCAATTCAAGGTGCTATCAGCGGCCGCAGTTCATTCTTTGTGAATTCAGCCCTCTGATTTTATATAAAAGGACAAGGCTACACCCTGATTTTATATAAGAGGAAATGACTACACCCTGATTTTATATAAGAGAACACAACTACACTCTGATTTTATATAAGAGGACACAACTACACCCTGATTCTATATAAGATGACACAGCTACACTCTGATTTTATATAATAGGTCAAAACTACACACTGATTCTATATAAGAGGACACAACTACATACTACATACATGTTATATATGATGATACAATGACACACTGATTTTATTTACAAGGGAACATCTGCATACTGATTTTCCATAAAAGGTCAAAACTGCACACTGACTTGAAATAACAGGATAATAAAATGATAGGACACAACTACACCCTGATGTTATATAAGAGGACACAACTACACACGGATTTTATTTACACCACTGCTGTTTACTCTTAAATAGTTGGAACTGGGACACAGCTTTTGGTTTTCAATCCTATGTACTTTATACAATTCACCATAAGGTGGAGTACCAACCCCAGGAACTGGATGCACTGACCCCTGTATTACTTACACTGCACAAACTTTGGCCTTGGGGAGCATTTGAAGAATACATTTGTTGATTCAGGTTTGTTTTTTTTCATTCAAAAAAGTTTGTTCTGGCACTCCATTTCTTACGATACATGATGACCTCATCTGCAAACATTACAAGAGTAAATACCAGATAAAATACCCTGCAATGTGTACTTTGTAGCATTGTGCTAAGTCAACTCACTGCACTCAAATGGAAAAAAGAAGTTTCAGTCTTACTGCTGTCATTCGCATTACAGACCTGTAATTTGGCCTCAAAGGAATGTAATCTGTCATGATGTGATATCTAACATTTAATAAGCCCTCATGGACTGCACTGTAAAATATCAAATGTGCGCTTTTGTATTACCAAGCTAGTGTTGTTGCTGGTGTGTATGCCCTTTTAGTATTACGTGAATATATGGTTGACATTGTTCAGATGGAAACACAAGCAGGACATGTAGCTACATGATCTCCTGATGTAAGGTGCTTTATTTATTTGTCACGGTTGCATCATTGTCAGTGCAGAAGATCCATGTGTTCACATTTAGAAAGTAAAAACTGTGTTTTTAAAACATTTAGTAGCCTAAATCTGGAAAACATCATCACTTTCAATTAATTACTTCATATTGTGGTGTTTTGGCATC